GCTGGCAAGTTTTGAAATAAATAAATCAGACACACATGCTCCATGCGGTCTCCTCCCCCTTAGGAATTCCTATGGACGAGACACGGGGGAATCTCTTGGCTGGCTGGCTGGCTGGTTGGCTCGCTAAACGACCTTCGATCGGATGACACTATAGCGTCGAATTTCCAGCTCTCTTCCATGTGAAGTCTGCTCGAACACACCCGATTAGCAAACAAACATCTTGAGTACACACTTTAGCATCGCGAATACTCAAAACTGCATCTCTCGAATACTTGTATTTCTCACAGAACGAGTATCTCATAGATACACGGCAATTAAATGTGTTCTTATTGATCTGATGTGATAGGTTTTGGTAGTTCGCGCAGTTTTGATTAGTTTTTTAATACGTTTTGTTACAAAGTAGGAATTTGTTATTCCCACATATATAGTTATTTGATTAGAGAAGTTCTAACTAATTAAATTATTATTTTTTGTGAGGTATAACCCATAATTTCCTTGGATCTTTAAGCGATTTCCTTGGCATCTCTAATATATAAAATTATTTCAAGATTGGGTTTTAGTCTTTTAAATAAAAGTTTTTAAGAACAAAAACCTCTTAGACACACTCCCTTATTTTGATGGACAATCTAATACTTTTTCTACAGTTTATACCCCAGCTTAATATTGTATTAGAATCCCAATACTATTGCTTATAGAAATAATCCATCTAATCTCTTAAAGAGTATTATCAACTCTCTCATTTGATGTCAAAGATTATATTAATTTGCATTTTGCCTAATCATCGAAAACTCGAATCAATCTTAACCATATTCCACATTTCCTTGATTATTTAAGATATTCTTCTTACGGTTTATTTTATAAGGACCCTCAAGAGCTGCTTCAAAACTCATTTTCTCACATTTTATGCCTTAATTTTCACTAAAACTCAATGTTTAAGTTCTCATTTCCGTTAATACCGAATAATTGAAATCGATCTTGACAAGAATCCACATTATTTTCCGTATACACTTGCATGTCGCGATGCTTTATAAATAGTTAAGTGATTAGTCTCCGGCTTTGCACAATGGTTCTTCGTTGGAACTGGGCGTTAATGCTGCCATTTGTTACCCATTCGATGGGTTATAGGTCACGGAATCGGAACTGTATCGCGGGGCAGAGAGGTGGATAGGTCGTGGATTGGGTGGGTGGGTTTTGGGTGGCCCGAAAAGTTTCTTATGCACACGCACAGCTGCCTTCGCTGCTGTTGTTGGCACGCGTTGATTACAAACTGACAGTTGGCTGTCGGCTGTCGGCTGTCGTTCCCGTCCAACCTGAGATGCTGACGATGCTGCCCCCTGAACTGGCTCCCCTCCGCTGTCCGCTGCCTGCTTCCCCCTGCCCCCTGCCCGCTGCCCGCTGAATGCCCGCCGCTGAGCGGAATAGTCAACGTAGCGTATGCGCGATATTTTTTTCTCAACTTTTTCTTGCGTTTTTTTTCTGCGCTGCCGATTAAAGTACACATAAACGGCGGCAGGGCGAACATTCTTGTGTCTGCCCCTCGCTCTTTCGTTACTTTTTTCGTATTCTTTGTTGTTTTATTTTATGATTCTTTTGTATTTATTTTGTTGCTATTGTTTTATCGCGGCAGACACACACACACACACCCGCACACATTGCGATTTGTTTGGAAAATATTTGGAAAATTCTGATATAAAATTATACTGAGGGGGGCTCCAGAACTGACTAATCGAAGTGTGGGTCCCGCGGATTAAGTGCGGACATAAATGCCGGCGTGTAGGAGGAGGAGATATGGTTACGACTGCATTAGATTCTCATACGATTCCCCCCTATGATTCATCAAAAATTTGACAATGCTCCATGCTCCAGACAACGAGCCGCGTATAATGTGCCATAAAAAATAAAGAAAATAACAGAAAAGGTAAACTGCGCAGAGGTAACAGCTGCCAATGAACTCGGGACGCGAGGTGCCATTAAGCGTGGGCGTGGGTGGTGCAGAGTAACTGCCTCATTAATATGCATTTCCCAATTAACTGGCGTATTTATTTGATTGGTTCAGATCACAGACACACATATACACAGCTCATTAGTTTAGCTTTTGGCGCTGATAGCAGCAAAGTTAATTGATAATTTTATCAGTTGATTAGAGCTCCGCCGGCCAGCTGTTCAGCGGGAGATCATCAACGGAGTTGGGTTTGCAAAACTAACCAAGAACTTGGCACTGAGTGGCCCACCTTTCACATTTTTTTTGTTTTTTGTTTAATATGGTTTTGAATTTCAGATTTTGGTCAACACTTCACCGCGAAAATGGCCAAAAGTCTCGGGTTCCCGAATTCTCTTGCTGCTCGGTTTTCAGTTTTTTGCGGCCAAACGCCAGGACGTTCCGTGAGCGACTGAGCTGCTTGTGGGCCAAATAACGCATTTGGCTAATTTGCCAAACGCTTGCCACTCGCCGTCCGCCGGCTCTCGTGTGCGTGCGTTTGGCTAAAAGGTCGCAATGGCGGCGCGCGGGGGCTCGTTGTGTACACAGAGGGCTCACTGTACGAGTCGTTCGCGTTAATTTCGTTCCGTTCTTTCGTTATCACTCTTTGCCAGTGTATTAATTATGAATTTACTTTGTGCTTAACAGAATGGAGGATTCTAAAGGATGCGACACTCAACAGAATTAGCAGCCCCAAAGTGAGATGAGCTCTGAGTCCTCAGCGTCCATGATTCGAAAGAAGTTCGAGCTGTGAGCTGCGTTACGCATTATTGTTATTTCTTTTTTTTTTTGCTATATGCAGATGGAAATAAATGAGTTTCCTGTAATTGATAACGACAGGGATATGTGCGCGTGTGTGGGTGCACAGCGGAAAACGAAATAAGAGAAAAAAACGAGTGCCACTTTTTAATGCAGTGAAAAGAAATTTATAGAAATTACGCTATTTAAAAGTTAAAATTTCCTAAAATCCTAAGTATTTCAATACAATCACGATTATTAAACAGCCAATGCTTAGTTCATAAAATATGTTGCATACTTCTGAGCTTAAATTCCATGATCTTGGCGGTTTATCTTACTTCCCATTTGGCACTCTAAATAGTTAAAGTTTTCAGAATCTAGACCTTTAAAATGGCCAGATCTTGGTTTCTAAGCAGATATCCATAATTTTAACCGCACTTCTACATGGTCCTTTTTTGACCAAAGAGAATTTGCAATTTTTAAGTCCAAAGCTCTTTATATTTATAGAAATAATACAAGAAAATTATCTTAACTAATTAAATCTAATTAATAGTAATCAAAAGATTGAGAGATGGATTGAAATGCTAATTTATGTATAAGAAAAATATCTTTTTGAATTTATTTAAAACAACCCAGGGGATTCTTTTCGTTTCAAGGTCATTGGCTACATTGTTTCTCATTTATTTCGCTCCCCCGATGAGATTAATTCCCAAGAATTAATTTTATGATCAAGTTTTTTGGGTTTTTGAGATATTAAAAAATACAATTATTTTCGTACGCTGCAAGGAAACTGATATTGAAGTTTTGTTAACTGTGTGTGGACATTGACATTCAGCTGGGCACAGGACTGGGTAGAAGATGGGCGTGTTGGCACACAGAAATCGATCGTACCCATTTTGGAGCTGTCACTCAAATTAAGCACATTAAAAATCCATAGGGATTTCAACACCCACATGGCTCAGTCGACAGTTCTACCCCCCTCGTAACGCCCCTAACATGTGCAATTGTATTACACACGCACAGCGCAGCACACCAAGTGACATAGTTCGTGTGTGTGCACAGCAAACAAATACACACACTCGCTCTAGCAGCCCGCACACACACACAGATACTCGCTAAAACAATGCTAATAAATTTTCGTTTTATGAGCATTTGGCTTTTAATTACCGAACTAAACTTAAACGCCGCACTAGCACACAAAATATGTGTGCTCATCGCGTGCGTGTATGCGTTTCGAGAGAGATATATATGTAGATGTGTGGGTTTGGGTGTGTAGGTTATTTATACAACACGCTTGATTTGGCTTGATTGATCTACCAGGAGACGGAAGGATCCAGGACGGAATGGTGGGCCGGGGCACTTTCAATTGTTGTCATAGGCGCAAGAGTCGTAAACTAAAATGGTATTTTCCTTTACGAAATTGCCCCTGTAACTGTATTCCTTCAACAAGAACTATTGTCCTGCCTCACTAAGTCCTGGTACAAGTAATCGAATATATTGGTTTAGCAATTGTACTCCCAACCTTAGTTGAAGTTGGCTTAAACGAGTCAGGTGTCTCCCAAAGTTGAAGTAATCACATTGCCGCAGAAATTGCTGTGGATTTGAAACCAAATGAGAGAGACTCTTAAAGCAATTATATATTTAAGGAACTAAATTAAGGGATCATTTTATAATTTATTTTGTGTAAAATACTTTTATTTTAAGCAACATTTTGTATGTACTTTTGAACATTTGTTTAATTAATTTGAAATAGTAAGTTATATCTTTGATATCAGTAGTAGGGGGTTATAGTTAAAGGTAATCTCTATTTTGTATGTTTACAAATGAGAAATAAATTTTCTTGAATATTGAATATTGATCTTTCTTAAATCCTACAACTTTGCCTCAGCAAATTCTATTGATTTAAAACCAATTAAAAAAAATTAGTCAGAAAGTGCAGAATGAGTGTTTATAATAGAGTTATTGAAAAGACTTTAATTATATATGAATTTTTTAAAAGGCTAAGTTAACTATAATTTCATATATTTCTTTAAAGTGCTGAATCAAATAAGAAATAAAGAAAGAAACTTGTAGTATACTTTTGGGTATAACAATAATTTATTTAAAAACCCAATAATAAATTGTTTTACTAAATAAACTCCGCTTACATTACTTACATGTTAATTATGTATAAAATATTTGAAGATTTTAAAATAGCACCTCTTGGAGTCAATCGTTTTATGAATCATACTACAATTTATTTTCATTAAAAACCACACCTACAAGTTTTAGGTTTTAGTATGAAGTTTATTTCTTTATATCTATATTAATTTATTTAATTTAATGTTTGTCTGCAATTCATTTAAACATCTATACAGTATGAAGACTAACTTGGTTTGAAATTTATTTCTATCTCCTATAAACAGACATAATCCTGTCATTATCTGCCGCAATAAATCATTCAAATGAGTGTCCTTAGCACGTGTAACTTGTTTCCAAGTTCATCTATTAATATGTTATTCCGGTAAATTCCAGCCATTTAAATATGAAGCACTCCTTGAACAGCTGCGGTCGCTGCTACATGCGCTGGATGACGCAGCCCTTGAAGGAGTTGAGCCTCGCATCGATCTCGCCTTCCTCCAGCTGCAGGACAACAGAAGGTTAAATATGAAGGAACTGACACTTTCTCTTTCAATCCAACTTACCTCATTAAAGGCGTAGATGTCCTGGTAACAAGATGGCGAAATGCACTTCCGGATGCAGTTAATCTTGGCCACGCCCACAGGACTGAGGTTCACGCACTGAACATGATGGTCACAGGACACCTCCAATTCATGGTATGTGATTTCCTGTTTTGTGTTTGGTTTTTTCAGTTATTTATATGTTTATTAAGACAAAAGGTGAAACAGAAAAATCAATACATTTGCAGAACTCACATTTTTGCTGGTCTCCTTGTAGGCATACTCGGGAAAGTTAAATGTGGCGGCCTTCGGGAACATCTTTCCATTCAGGCCATGCAACTCCTTGTAGCCATAAGCGGCTTTTAGCAAAACTATTGAGCAGAAAACAATGAATATAGCAGGACGCGGCATTTTAACAGTTGTTCCTTGTTTGGTCCTTTAAGATCAGCTGTTTGCCAGGGCTGGAGAGTGCAAATATCCTGGGACATTTGCCTTCGTGAAAGGGAAAGTTTGAGACTAGAGTTTCCTAAAATCCAGATCCAGATGCCGCTAAAAAGCTCGTGTAAAATACTGTCAAAGATTGGTGTAAAGCTATGTCAAAAATCTTTTAGCGAAAATATTATTTTTAAAATTTATAATTAATAAGGATTATAATATAATAAATTTCCTTCATAAATAAAACGCTCTTCATCTTCTTTTTAAAACTCCAAAACAAAATGTTTATTTTTTGCACTAGCCATAAATAAATAGAGCCATAGAAAAAACTTTTAGTTTAAAATCAGCTTTGTAGCTGTCATAAAGTAAGAATAAACTATTTTTTGTAAAATATTTAATTTGTTTTTTTTTTAAGGATGTTTAGATGAGGCCCACTGTGCCGCCTCTGCTCGCGGAGCTTTCCGAGCACGCGCCTCCCTTGCTCTCGCGCTCCGACTCTCGGGTCTAAAGTGCCGACCATCGGCGATCTCCCGCGCTCGTATTTGGAGAGCAAAGCGGCCGAGAGCTCGGCTTAGGTTTAAGCTAGTAGTTAGTCTTATGTATGCAGCGAAATAAAGCTGATGAAAACTTGAATTGCCCACGACGCCCCCGCCTTACTTAGTTTCGTTTGCGACGTGGGAACTTTTCCTTGGACTACTTCCATCCAGGATCTTGCGGCAGGACGCCCCCTTCACATTTGGTCCTTCGAGCCGGATTCTACCGACAGGATATCCTTCCGCCGTCTTACCAGCAGTTCCCGGCAACTGTCCGCCAAGTTTTATTATATCATCTTTCCAAGTGAACGGACGTGTTTTTTTCTTGCGCTCTCGTTTTGTGTTAAAGTTTCAATCTAACCACCGGGGTTAACTTAAATTTTCTAATTTGTGTTTATAACTTCCCGTTCACTTCGCGTGTGCATGCAGCTATCCTAATTTTGTGTATATAATTGGTTTTATTCTCCAATTTAGTTGTGCTGCTAGTGCTAGCTTTTGCATATTTTGAATTCCTTTTTGTGCCTTCTTCGTTTAGCTTTTGTTTGCGCCGTCGCAACAGCTAAACGTTTCATCTATTTATCTCCCACGCTCTCCAACTCTCTCGCTTAAGTTGTGCCGCTGCACTTCTTATCTTATCTAATCTATTACGCTCTCCCGCTCTCTCGCTCTCGCTTCTTTCTTCATAACTCTGTTGTTCTTTTTTTTCAATTGAAAGTACAGTGGTAAGTCGCTATAATGTCCTCAAACATTGTCTGTTCTGTTAAAACCTGCAAAAAGGCAATTGCTGCAGGTGACCTTACAATCGGCTGCTGGCTGTGCGACAACGTCATGCACGCCAAGTGTATTGGAGTTGCAGCTCGGACGGTGGACGATGTAAGGAAAAACATCGGCCTGCGTTACTGCTGTGAGGCCTGTCGCGATGTAGAAAGGGAAATGACGTCTTTCATGCGGCAAACCAAAAGCGGTTTTAAGGGCATTTTAACGAGTTTTCGTAAAACTCTTGATATGTTCTTGGCGCTGGACACCCAATTTAATAGCCTTACGCTATTAAATGAGTCTCCTAGGCGCAAAAAAACTGCTATTGGTGGGCAGCATGTAGACGGACCCCAACTACCCGCAACAGGCTCTCAGCAGCAGCCTCCCACGGCACAGCCCTCGACCTCAGCATTAATTCCAAGAGTGCTGAGATCGAGCGCTAGGAAAGATTCGGTATCCGAATGTGCAGCGGGAGTGTCCGTACCGCCGGTGATTTCTGTTGTATCCCCTGGGGGGTCGCAAATATTGACCCCTCAAAGTCCCGTGCACACACCATTATCTACCCAGGGTGTTAGGCCCGGAATACCGGCCGACAATGGCACGGCAGATAACCAATCTGCCTTGCCAAAAGCCCTTATAGCTGTTCCACCAACGAGACATATTTTTGTCTCGCGGCTCTCCCCTGATCAAACATCGGAAGATGTTCTCGCCTTTATACAAGGCAAAACCAGAGCCGAAAAAATTAAGATAAAGGTGGAAAAGTTTAAATTTTCTTACGCAAGGGACATTTCATCTTTCAAGATAAATGTCCCTAACGAGCTCTTTAACACTATTTGCTCTCCCAACTTCTGGCCAGAGTACATAGTTGTTAAGGAGTTCGAGGCGAAGAAAAAGAAAAAGCGGCCTGTAGGAATAACTCTTCCCAGGCCTGATGTTACCACTGTGCCTTCTACGTCTTCCAATCCCGACCCAAAAAACTAACCCACTCCTTAGGTATTTCCTATCAGAATGCAAGAGGCTTACGTAGTAAGCTTCCTAACTTGTATTCTGATAGCCTTTCGTTTGCATCTCAGGTTATTGTGCTCACAGAAACCTGGTTAAAGCCGGAGATTCTGAGCTCCGAAGTTTTTCCAGCTGTGTTCACGGTATATCGGCTAGATCGCCCTATCAGACGCGGGGGTGGAGTTCTTATAGCGGTGGACTCCTCACTCACGTCAGAATTATTAACCTTCGAGGAATGCAACGATGTTGAATTCCTCTGTGTGAAGCTATCTATCAAAGGTAGCTCAATTTTTATTACCTGTTCCTACATACCTCCACTGTCGGAACTTCCTATTTATTGGAATCACCTTTCCGCTATTCAGATGGTTTCCAGTAGACTTTTGGATAGAGACCAGTTGGTAGTTCTAGGAGATTTTAATATCCCTGGTGCTATTTGGTGCTCGAATAATTCCACCAATACTCTCAATACACCTACACAACATGACTTTATCGCTGGCTTGTTTGACATTTCGCTGTCTCAAGTCAACCATGTTCGAAATTCCTTACAGCGCTTGCTCGATCTTTGCTTCGTCTCTGATCCTGCGAGAGTCAGTTTAGCAAGGGTGGCGCCTCTGACGCAACCCGAAGATCCTTATCATCCAACTTTCGATGTGACTCTTGATATTGGGTGTGACGTACAGCATATTTCTGACCGTCCAGCCAATAAAGTCCTATGTTTTCGCAAAACGGACTTTGAACGGCTGAATAATTTTATAAACGAGTTCAATTGGTCCGATCTATACATGTGCACTGACATGGCAGTTGCCGTTGATATTTTTTACAGTGCCATGAATTCATTTTTTACTGAATGTGTTCCGTAATATTATCCGCCAAACTCGAATAAACCGCCGTGGTTTACTAAAGAGTTGAGCCGACTTAAAAATAAAAAATCTAGACTGTATGCTAAATTTAAAATCACCGGTTCTCAATCTGCCCTTTCATCTTATTTATCAGCTCGGTCAAACTTTACCGTGCTGAACGCGCAGTGTTATAAAAACTATTTAACTCGTTGCAGGGCCCAGTTCTCACAGGACCCAAAACAGTTTTATAATTTCGTTAACACTAAACGTAAACCTAAAACAAATCCTTCCTCGCTTTCATTTGAAAATACTACCGCAAATAATGATCAGGCAATAGCCGATCTATTTTCGCAGTTTTTTCAAACAACCTATTCTAGCTCTTCGTATATATACCAGACTTATTCCTACGACATACCCAAATCGAACTTAATTTTCTGTCCTAGCCTAAACGAAAGCTCTCTCCTTTTAGATCTTCATCGTGTCAAGCCAGTTTATTCGCCAGGTCCCGACGGAATTCCTGGCTGTGTGCTCAGGTATTGTGCCGACGCCCTGTGCTATCCCCTTCTGAAATTGTTTACCTTGTCCTTGGAAACCTCCCACTTTCCCATTATTTGGAAGGAATCGTTTATTATTCCTCTCCACAAAAAAGGTAGCAAATTGGATGCCAGCAATTATAGAGGAATCTCTAAGTTGTCGGCCATCCCAAAATTATTTGAAAATATTATCACCCCTCATTTACAGCACTTTTGTAGATCGGTTATTTCTCCATGTCAACATGGTTTTATTAAGCGAAGACCAACAACAACAAATCTTTTGGAGCTCTCTTCCTATATTATAAAGGGCTTCCATAATAATTGTCAGACAGATGTAATCTATACTGATTTCAGTAAAGCATTTGACTCTGTTAATCATTCTCTCCTCGTTAGAAAACTCGATTCAATGGGTTTTCCAAGTGATCTTCTTAATTGGATCTCTAGTTATTTGAATGGCAGGACGCAAAAGGTCCTCTTTAAGAATAATTTATCCAATATTCTAAGGGTTACATCTGGTGTCCCGCAAGGAAGCCATTTGGGACCCTTATTGTTTACATTGTTCATAAATGACCTGCCCAAAGTCTTGACTAACTCCAGAGTACTTATGTACGCGGATGACGTCAAGCTTTGCGTGCAATACAATGACGTTGCCTGCCAGTCGGATTTACAAACAGATCTTAATAATTTTCAAACTTGGTGCCGTGTAAACTTATTAAACTTAAATGGCTCGAAATGCAAGCTAATGACATTCTCTCGTGTCGCTCCTAAGCTTGCTACTTACACGCTGAACGGCTGCTCTTTGGAAAGAATTAATACAGTTGACGATTTGGGCGTCCGCTTGGACCCAAAACTTGACTTTATTGATCATATTTCGTCTATGGTGAATAGGGCCAGGGGTGTGCTTGGATTTATTAAACGGTGGTCGAAGGAATTCAATGACCCCTATGTTACTAAATCCTTATATACTTCCTTAGTTCGTCCTACCCTAGAATATGGATGCTGCGTTTGGAGCCCTCAGTACGGCGTCCATAGTAAACGCATTGAGTCGGTTCAAAAGAACTTTTTACTTTTCGCTCTACGCGGTTTAAATTGGGATGCAAACCAAAGATTACCTTCCTACTCTAGTAGACTCCTATTAATAAACTTGCCGTCCTTAGCCAATCGTAGAACGATGCTAGGGATAACCTTTATTTTAACCTTATCCATGGTGATGTGGAAAGTGCTGACTTGTTGGGTCAGCTTAATTTCCATGTACCATGTAGAACCACTAGATCCTATATCCCATTAGTGTTGCGCCACTGTAGGACCTCCTTTGAACTGCATGAACCTTTT